GGCCAGATACTCGGTGAGAGCCTTCCTCTCCTGCAGCGACCGCCTCATTCTCAGAGGAACATTTCAACAGTATCCCCACACCAGCCCGGCACCTCTCACCCTGCAAACGGAGACAGTCCAGACCCGATCCAAGAGTTTGGTTTAACAGCAGGTCCAGTGCATATTTAGTCGCAGCATATGAGTCCTGCACCAAAAGGGTCTCAAGAACTAGTTCAGGCAGCCGTCTCTAGCCGGCGGTGGGCCAACACGGCACCAGGTCGGCAACTTTGTGGTTTCTTAGACACTTAGGTGAAGAGAGGAACAGGGCTGTGAACAGATCAGGTGGCGGTCAGACTGGCTCAAACTGACTCAGACTGACTCAGACTGACTCAAACAGACTCAAACAGACTTAGACTGACTCAGACTGACTCAAACAGACTCAGACTGACTCAGACAGATCAGACAGACTCAGACTGACTCAGACAGACTCAGACTGACTCAGACAGACTCAGATAGACTCAGACTGACTCAGACAGACTCAGACAGACTCAGACTGACTCAGACAGACTCAGACTGACTCAGACAGACTCAGATAGACTCAGACTGACTCAGACAGACTCAGACAGACTCAGATAGACTCAGACTGACTCAGACAGACTCAGACTGACTCAGACAGACTCAGACTGACTCAGACAGACTCAGATAGACTCAGACTGACTCAGACAGACTCAGACAGACTCAGATAGACTCAGACAGACTCAGATAGACTCAGACTGACTCAGACAGACACAAACAGACTCAGACTGACTCAGACTGATCATTAAAAAGCAGAACAGCAGGGCTTTATTACGTTATTCAGTAGGATGTTAGCTAGCGTTAGCTAACTAACATCACATTAGGAACAATCTACAGCCTACAAAAGCTAGAAAACAACTCTTTTTGCATTAGAGTCAATGGAGCGCAGCCATAAAAGTGTCAGACCTCAGAGCGAGTCCTATACTGCGCTGTGATAGCCACGCCCCGATAGGCCATTCAGGGCGTGGCTTAGCAAAGGGTCAATTGGGAACATCTGGTCAAGGCCCCTGTCTGCAGGGTGGATTCCTACTTTCAGAGGAATTGTTTCTGCATCCAGGGAGTAGGATTGGATGTGATCCATGTTCACAACTTCCAGTCTGGACGAGGCAGCTCTGAGTCGTGGGAGGGGGGACCCAAGGATCTCCTGAAGAGACAGTATCGGGGTAAAAAGGGTTCCATAGATTATAGAAGCGGAAACTCTAGTGTGGGAGGGTTTTGGGGAGGCCGTGGACACAAAGAGGTTCTGGCAAAGCCAAATCCAGCAGGGGAAGAGAACTGCCCGCCTTGAGTGGGGATATTATTTTGGGCGACAGAAGCAACACTTTCAGGAACCCCCAAACCTGAGCTGGGCTGCTGCTACAATCCAACCAGTCCTGGGATACCTGAGCAAGAGTTGTGTTCGTGTTCTTGGCAGGAGGTCCAGCGTGTTCTCACTGGGTGTTGTGTGGTGCAACCTCGGGTTTGTTCAGTCTGAAGACAGCGTGGTCTGCTGTGCTGAGGTTTCTGGGTTTAAACGCCGTGTTTCCTTACAGTGTTAAACGGGCTTTTCTCTCGTTTTCGTGGGTGTCAGACGTGTTAACCAATCAGCAGCGACCTGTATACAACCCCGCCCCTACTTCTCTGCTATTCTAGACCTCAAAATCCACTGAGTGACTGTAAGATCGAGCGTATTTGCTTTTATTAAGCTGTTGGAAACCTCCAGCTATTTCCAGGAAAAACTAACAAACCCAAAATGCATCAGGAATAATTCCTCGACCATTCGGCCTAGATGCATAATTCCTTTGAAAGGTCAGAAGCTGGAGAATGTGAATCCATTGTAAATATATACATATTTATTTTACCATTACAGACTAAATGGAGATGCAATAAAGAAAAAAAGATATTTTCATCCTCGCCTGGTAAAAAAAGCTGCAATAAACCATCAAAACCATCATCAGACAGATTATAATGCAACTGAATATCTTCTAATACACCTGGAATACAACTGTAATTCTTTAAAAATATACCAGGCGAATGTCCATATTTTGGCAATATTGATGGTTGAAATGAAGACTTTTATTGGGAGTTTCTGTCCAAACAACCACAGAAAGCTTTCAAAACTTTGAACTATTGACAAAAACAGTGAATATCGATCAATATTCCTGGGGCGTCTGTGTTTTAAACACTTAAACGATTTCATCAGGCTCCAAAAGTTCTTTGAGAAGAAGGCGAAGAAGGGCCAGGCTGTTCAGGGCTCATGTTTCTGTCTGAACGTTTTGTCGGGACTGAACGCGCTGCACGCCGGTTGTGATTTCGGCTCTGGCTTCACCAGGATGTGACCCTGTGACTCTGGCCTGATTGGGTAACTGGTAGGCGGGGCCGTCCACCTCAGTCCTCTTGGAGAGACCCGCTCTCTTACACCACTGACTTCACTGTCATCAACATCTCGTCTCTTTTGCAGTTTAACGTATGTTTTCGTAAATAAGTCAAGTTAAATGAAGTGAACTTTCAGTGTCTCCGTTCTCTGCCCTTTGAGCCGGTCGTGTTTGCGCGGGATCAGCACCTCCGAGTCTGCGACAGAAACTGAAAGGAGGAGGATGTGGATTGAAGAAGACTCAGCATGGCGGGGTGAGGAGCTCAGACCTGCTGCTCCTTCCTGTTGAAAGGCTGAGGTGGTTCTGGTCAGGGTGCCTCCCTTTAGGTATTCCAGGCTCGTCCACCTGCGAGCAGACCCCGCGGCCATCCCATCTGGCCTGGGATTGCCTCGATTGAGGAGTTCGGGAGAAGGACGTCTGGACTCCGTCACTGAGGAGGAAACACATTATTCGTTTACTTCAGAAACAGACCAGTTTGCCCAGTTTTGCCCAGGATTCTGGTCAGGACCTCACTGTTTATCTAATCGTTCTCTTCTTCTGATTAACACCTGAAGTTAAATCCTTGTGCACACATTTAACACTGAATATCAAAACATGTGAGATATTTGCTGCTCAGTTTATTATTGTTTTTATTCACTTTGGTTCTGCCTCTGTTCTCCGTCTTCAAACACACGATTAAAAAGTGTCTCACTCACTTTTTGTGTTGAATGTCTCCATATTTTCAAACGAATGCGACAGAAGCGACAGTCTAGTGTTTCTGTCAGATAAAAGTGTGTTTGTTTGTGCAGGTTTTGGCCAGTTTTTAAAGATTGGATTGTGTAAATTTAAGTTATTTTAGGTTTTGGTTCCCGGGACTTTCCTGTACGAACCTGTCCTGGACTCAGCTGTTCAGAAGTAGTCTGAATCTGAAAGTTTGTATCTGGATCAGGGTGATCCAATCCAGTGAAAAACCAGAAAAGAAAGACGGGTGACTTGATCCTGGATAGCAAAACATGGGATTTCCAGATCCGGATCATTCTGATGCAGATTTAACCTTTTTGATTACGTCCACACGATCCACATGAGCAGAGAGAAAAATATCATTTCTTTTCATAGAAATGAGTTTCCTGTTGCATTCCTCACACACTGTGCAGCAATATTTTCATTCAGGGACGCACACGAGCCAAACAGGTTCTGGGAAGATGTTTCAACATGCAGTCCTTTAAACTTACCACTCGCTTTGTAAAGGCTTCTAGTACTTATTGATTAGGAAGAATTAAATGTTACTATCAACAAGTCATTAATAAATCACCAGTAAGAAAAAAGTGTTACTAGTAAGAATCAAAATGATACTAGTACCTGTCGCTCTGACCCTAATGAACAGGTACTCGTGTTTAAATAAAAGATACTAGTAAATAATAGATACTAAGAAATAATAAATAAGTACTGGTAGCTTTTAAATAGCGAGTGGTAAGTTTTAAAGAATAAATGTTAAATGGTGTGTCATAAACAGGTCAGGAGTTTTAATCTTTAACAAGCTGCAACTATTAATTCTATTCAGCTTATTTGTCAAACAACAATATTGCAAAAGCTACAAATAAATTACAAAAGAACATTTCATACAGTTCATTACAAAAATAAATAATGTGTTAAAATAATAATAATAAATAAAATAAAACTTTTAAAAATAAATAAATAAAATAGAAAGCATGTGTGTTGTGAATTCAATTCATATTAGTCCAGTAATAGATTGAAAGAAAATTGTATTTTGATAATTTTGACAACTATTTTGATAAATGATTAATAGTTTTAGTCGTTTTGCGAAGTAAAAATGTCAAACATTTGCTGGTTTCAGAGTCTTTTTTAACTGTTGTTTGGACAAAAAGGGGCGATTTGACGACATCGCTTTGGAATCTGGACATTTTATAGACCAAACGATTAATCGTGGCAATAATCTGCAGATGAATTCAAGTTATTTTAGTTCTTGTTGTTTTATGTAACATGTTGTGACAAATGCTGGAGTAGAAGCATTAAACAGAAAGGAGTGAGACAGAAACACCGTAAACCTTGTTCTGAGCGGGATGGAGACATTTTATTAAGGGTGAGAGCTGGGAGCCTGCAGCCTTCAGGGGCTGCAGCCTTCAGGGGCCTGCAGCCTTCAGGAGCCTGCAGCCTTCAGGGGCCTGCAGCCTTTAGGGGCCTGCAGCTTTCGGGCCCCTGGACATCAGACATGCGGGTCTGAACACGCCTGCGGGTCCTGGTGTCCTCCATGAGATCGAGTCTGCGGGGAACCGGGGGCCGCAGCTCTGAGAGATGCGAGTGATCGTGATTCATCCGCACAGCTCGCTGCTTCCTTTCTCCCGACGCACGGAGGAGGGAGGGACGCGTCCCAATCCGCACACCTGCCGCCTCCGTCACCCTGAGCGGTCCGACTCAGGAGCGCAGCTGCCGCTACGCCGTCAGTGTGCGAGCCACACCAGCTCCCCGGTGTTAAAGCAGTCAATATAAAGATCTCTGTGAAGTGAGAGTCCTGGTAGTGTGGCAGGAGGAGCCCGGGTGGAGGAGGTGGCTTGTTCTGAAGTGGACGCGGCCGGGTCAGCTGACAGTCCGCTCCTGCCGCCGACATCTTGCCTCCGACCGGAGGAGACAGGAGAGTCCGGGTTTCACGGTCAAACGTCCTAATGGAGAGACTTCAGAGCCGGAGCGGATCTCTGTGAGCAGCCCGGAGACTCAACAGCATCTCTGTGGAGCGGGTAAGGACCTGGCGGACAGCTAACACCGCCCGCCTGTCTCTCTCTCCCCGCCCGTCTGTCTGAACTGCAGCAGCGGCGGAGCGACCGCTGCGGTAACGTTAGCAGGTGTTGCTAATAGCTAGTCGTCGTCAACGAACAGCCATTTAAAAAAATCTGATTTTCAGTGATGGATTGCTCATCAATACCGGCTCCTTCTGTGTAGGTCGTGATTTAATATCTGTTATAAGTCAGAAGGGACCTCGTTTAAATTCGGCACATTCTAACAGCACTTGTGTTAAATATTATTGCGACTTTTCAGCCGAGCAACTAACTGTTAGATCGATAAATGCCGCTATTTTCAGCGACGTCGAAATGTTACGTGACTGGGCGGTATCGTCAGCCAGTGGGTGTCATTCACCGTATATAAGTCTATATCCTTCACAAATACGTATTTAATGTTCGTTTATTTGTATGCCGGAAGTACCAGAACACCCTACATTTACCAACAGTTAGTGTCTTTATATGTTATTTGTGTAACGCAGTAAAAATACATGAAAACACATTAAAATGTCAGATTTTTAAATGGAGTTCTGAATGCTATATCACGTATCTGCGAGCTTTCACCGCTGCAGAGGAACAGATTGTATTTCTTTTTTACTATGTTCAATTAGATTTGTGGGATGATGATAACAGCAGCTAAGCTAACAGGCTGCTCTAATGTTGAACCTGTTTTTAATTAGCTAATTTAGCACAGCAGCTTAATGCTGTTATATATATATATATATATATATATATATATATATATATATATATATATATATATATCTGACACATTCAGGGAATAATCAAATTAAAACATCAAGGTCAAAATCAGGAGAGAAGAAGTGAAACCTTAATTTAAAAGTAAGAAATTAGAAATGTTAAGACCGAAATGATAAATTATCTGATCATTTAAAAAAAAAAAAATCAAAATGTTGTCTTGCTAATTTCTGCTTAGAATAAAAAGTTAAATCTACTGTGACTTCATATGTCGTAAATCATGACATCATCATTTAGCGAGTCATTAACTGCCACCACAGAAGAAGATCACAGACTATATTCTGCATTAGATTATATTCATAGATCAGGTTTCATCCTCTCTAATAATACTCTTCCTCTCTGTCCACAGCTCTGACTGACGGGCGTCAGCCATGATTGGTGGACTCTTTATCTACAACCACAAGGGGGAGGTGTTGATCTCCAGGGTGTACCGCGATGACATCGGGTGAGTCCTGCAGGCCGGCGCTGAGATGCCCCTGAGCTGAGACAGAAAGTGTGTTCAGGGTCAGCGAGGACGGCGAGGGTGTGTTCAGGGACAGAGAGTAGGATTGCACAACATATTGACCCAAGATCGTTATCGCTATATCACATTGCACAATATCATATCGAAAATGTAGCAGGAAGTAGGTCTGGGCAGTATATGAGGTACACGGATATGAAATTAGACAATACCGTTTATACTGATAGTTGATGTTGAGTTAATTAATATGTTTCCGTAACGTCCTGCCAGCGTTTGCTCCTCTCTCTCCCTCGCCGCGCAGCCCCGCCCCTCCCTCTGCGTCTGCATGCAGCCGTCTGGCTCGCAAACTCACGGGGGACACCGTGATTGGTCGAAACTGTTAAAGATCTGGCTTGTAAGAAGAAAAACACGGTTCATTCACGGCGCCCAGGTTAGACGACACACTGTAGTATTTAACAGAGAAACACGGTGATCACGTTACAAGTCGCGACACCGTGGAGATTTTACAAGAGCGGACCAGGTAGAGCGACAGTGAACTCACCAGTCAGATGTTATCCGTTAACGACCACGTTGGTTTTATTTTGATAGGCTACGTCGTCAACACGCCTCCTTAACATGCTGCTCAAGTTCAGTAACTTTATACAGCCTAGCCTGCTACTGATGGCGAAAGTCAGCGAAGCGGCCACGCAGGGAGAGAGAGACGGTGAAGCTGCACGGTACCAGCTCTACTCGCCTTTTTGTTGTACTAATGTGTCTTTACATTCTGAGGAATGTTGAAACGTTTTAACTCAAATCAGGAGACAGCTGTTTGTGGGTCGCTGGTGTGTGTGTGTGTGTGTGTGTCGCATCGAACATTACGTGGCGGCTGTTGTGTGTGGCGTTGCTACGACGACCAGCTACACTGAGGGGAGCTATCTGCAATGGAAAACGGAGGACGGCCAAACCGAGGCGAGTTGAGCTGGTGCTGGTAATGGCTGCTTGCAGCAGAGGTCTGTGAGTGCGAAGAGAACTGAAGGAGGCGAATTCAATAAGTGATACTTAAGATGGAGAATCAAGTATCAATAAAACGGTGAAATTAAATAAATAAATAAAAATATTAAAACACACGGCTAAGAATGACCTCATCTCCGTGTGTCCATGAGTCGAGCTGAAATGAACCACTTAGACCTGAACCAGAAATGAGTCCGGACTCTGTGTTCTGATGAATCTGAACCCTGCAGCTTTTAAATCAGGAGGTCCGGCAGTGAAGCTCGCCGCACTCTGCTTCCTGTCACTTAGAAGGGCCGCAGGTGGACTTCCCCTTCATCGATCAGCTGTTCAGGTTTGTAACACACACCCCCCCTCCAGGCGGTCTGAGTCGGTCCTCTGTGCTGCATCCTCCATTTCACTGTTGCTGTGATGCAGGGAGCCTGTTGCTAGGCAACAGCAGTGTGGCGCTGAGCCCTGCTGCGGCAACAGGAAACCCCTCAGAGTGATGAGGTCACCTCAGTCTTTAACAACACGGCTGCCGAGGAGCCGCACAGAGGGACGGGTCTTCTTTGATTAAGGCGGCGTGTTTGAGAGTTATGGCGCGTGACGCTCAGCTGCTCGCCGTCGGCTTCACTCCTGTACCGATGTGTTTGGTTAAAAGCTCCAGAACAAGCGAGTAAGTGGACCTTGAGTAGAGGTGGTCCAGGTGTGAATAATGACATCACAGACGGCGAGGCGAGCTCATGGTGTCGTTAATCTATGAATCAACGTTCTCCTGCTGTCCTTCAGCGGGATGTTTTGAAACATTAAAACTGATAAAACGTAAAGAACAAGTACTTCTTTCTGCTGCAGAACCTTAAAGGAACCGAGCAGAACGTTTCCAGGCGTCCATGTTGACCCGCTACAGGAAGTGACCTTTACGTCCTCTCGTCTCTTTCTCCAGGAGAAATGCGGTGGACGCGTTCAGAGTTAACGTCATCCACGCCAGGCAGCAGGTCCGCTCGCCGGTCACCAACATCGCCCGGACCAGCTTCTTCCACGTCAAACGCTCCAACATCTGGCTGGCGGCGGTCACCAAGCAGAACGTCAACGCCACCATGGTGTTCGAGTTCCTTTACAAGATGTGCGACGTCATGTCCGCCTACTTCGGCAAGATCAGCGAGGAGAACGTGAAGAACAACTTCGTCCTGATCTACGAGCTGCTGGACGGTGAGCTGCCTCACGGACGCCAAGAAGCGCTGTAAACCCTAAACAGGAAGTGACCCGTCCCCGCCTCACGAAGACGTCATCGCTCTGCCGCGCTGTTGTTTTTTTAGGTTTTGATTTTTGTAAGCGTTGGATGAGAAAATCAAAACCTAAAGAAAATACGGCGCTGGCAGGAGTCGTCTCTGCTGCAGATCTGTCCTGCTGTTGGTTGTTTGTTTGTTGTCTCTTTGTGTCTGTGTTTGTTTGTTTGTTGTCAGTTTGTTTGTTGTCTCTTTGTTTGTTTGTTGTCAGTTTGTTTGTTGTCTCTTTGTGTCTGTTTGTTTGTTGTCTCTTTGTGTCTGTTTGTTTGTTGTCTCTTTGTGTATGTTTGTTTGTTGCCTCTTTGTGTATGTTTGTTTGTTGTCTCTTTGTTTGTTTGTTTGTTTGCTGTCTGTTGTTTGTATGTATGTTTGTTTGTTTCTTTGTGTTTGTTTGTTTGTATTTATGTTTATTGTTGTCAGTTTGTCTCTTTGTGTTTGTTTGTTTGTTTGCTGTCTGTTTGTTGTTTGTTTGTATGTATGTTTGTTTGTTGTCTTTGTGTTGGTTTGTTGTAACCGTCTTTGTGTCCTGCAGAGATCTTGGACTTTGGTTACCCTCAGAACTCAGAGACTGGAGCTCTGAAGACCTTCATCACTCAGCAGGGCATCAAGAGTCAGGTAGGAGCAGAAGGTTAATGTGCTTTTAATGTGAAAGATCAACAGGAAGTGTTCAGTGACAGCATAGACAGACATTTATCAGCCAATGAGAAGAGTGAACTGTTTCCTGTTGTTTTTTTTTGTTTTTGTTTTTTTTCCTTCCTGCTCGCCTGCATCGTCCTGCAGCACCACGTGAGTCCACCTGTCCTACCTGTTTACTGTTTCACTGTTGTTGTACTTCAGTCCAGTACTCCTAACACTAACACCCCCCCCCCCAGACCAAAGAGGAGCAATCTCAGATCACCAGTCAGGTGACGGGGCAGATCGGCTGGAGGAGAGAGGGAATCAAGTACAGACGCAACGAACTCTTTCTGGACGTCCTGGAGAGCGTCAACCTGCTCATGTCCCCGCAAGGTACCAACGTGTACTAATGTGTACTAACATGTACTACGGGGTTGCTGTCAGAGTACTAACGTGTACTACAGGGTAGCTGTCAGAGTACTAACGTGTACTACAGGGTAGCTGTCAAAGTACTAACGTGTACTACAGGGTAGCTGTCAGAGTACTAACATGTACTACAGGGTAGCTGTCAGAGTACTAACGTGTACTAACATGTACTACAGGGTAGCTGTCAGAGTACTAACATGTACTACAGGGTAGCTGTCAGAGTACTAACATGTACTACAGGGTAGCTGTCAGAGTACTAACATGTACTACAGGGTAGCTGTCAGAGTACTAACGTGTACTACAGGGTAGCTGTCAGAGTACTAACATGTACTACAGGGTAGCTGTCAGAGTACTAACATGTACTACAGGGTAGCTGTCAGAGTACTAACATGTACTACAGGGTAGCTGTCAGAGTACTAACGTGTACTACAGGGTAGCTGTCAGAGTACTAACGTGTACTACCAGACCAGAGAGACGCTGTAACACGGTGGTAAAGTGCATCATCACATCAGCCAATCATAATGCAGCATGACATCATTGTTGTTGTTGTCAGTGAGGAGCAGCTGTGTTAGAAACAGCTGGAGAGGAAGAAGCGCCGCACTGAGCCACCAGAGGGCGACAGCACACCCTAACAGCCTGCGTGTGTGTGTGTGTGTGTGTGTGTGTGTGTGTGTGTGTGTGTGTGGTGTGTGTGTGTGTGTGTGTGTGTGTGTGTGTGTGTGTGTGTGTGTGTGTGTGTGTGTGTGTGTGTGTGTGTGTGTGTGTGTGTGTGTGTGTGTGTGTGTGTGTGTGTGTGCGCGCGCGTGCAGGTCAGGTGCTCAGCGCTCACGTCTCCGGCCGGGTGGTGATGAAGAGCTACCTGAGCGGGATGCCTGAGTGTAAATTTGGGATGAACGACAAGATCGTCATCGACAAGCAGGGAAAAGCAGGGAGCTCTGAGGACGGCGGCAAGAGGTCAGAGGTCACACAGGACGCTCACACTCACACACCTGCATCACCTGCAGGCTGCGCGGCTCTCTGAGCTCCTTATATGGTCACTTCCTGTCTGTCTCAGTCAGCTGATCCGGCTCTTCTCACTGAAAGCTCCTGTTTTGCTGGCGTGAGTTTGTTTCACAGCACCAAGCTTTTGAACGTACGTGTGACTCGAATAAAACCTGGATGGAGTTTTAAGGAGGGCTGGGTATCGTTTTATTTTATTGAGTCTGGGTTCTGGTTCCTTCGCCACAGATCCTCCTCGCTCCTCGTCCCCTTCATGTCTCTAAAGTGAAAGGAGTCTCTGTCCTAGAGGGGGCGTCTCTGGGACTCGTCTCATCTGTAGCCATCGTCGGTTTCCCTTCAGTATAAAAGTTGAACGTCGGCTCACCTGTGTTTTGTACCTGAGGCGTCGCTGCTGTTAGCGTTAGCTGGATCTGGGAGAGCGCGACACGTTGAACACGGTGAAGCGTTCCTTCAGATTCACGCCGTGTTGAAGGAAACACTTCGTCACGTCGGAGCTGCTTCCTCTCCCGCACCGAACCTCCTGACTGCAGCTGCTGCAGTTTGTTAGTGAAGCTGAGCCAAACTTTGGAGCGTTTGCTGCGGTCCGCCACGGTCCAGGACCGGAACCAGAAGCACTCTCTTCTTCACGCTTTGTTTACGGAACACATGAAGTGACGTTCAGATTAGAAACGTCTCTGCCGGGTTTCAGTCTTTGAGATCTGTTTCAGTTATTTTAGACTTCTGTTTATTCCCGTTAAATCGGTGGTTTTCCAGTAGGAGTTCTGAACTGACCCGCCTCTTTCTCTCTTCCTCAGCGGTAACAGTCGATAGCGATCGACGACTGCACCTTCCACCAGTGTGTTCGCCTCAGTAAGTTCGACTCGGAGCGCAGCATCAGCTTCATCCCTCCAGACGGAGACTACGAGCTCATGAGGTCAGAGGTCACTCAGCACACAACACTGGTTCACCTGACAGCAGCGCACAGCGTGAGACGCTCTGTCTGTCTGCAGGTACCGGACCACCAAAGACATCATCCTGCCGTTCAGGGTCATCCCTCTGGTCCGGGAGGTCGGTCGCACCAAGCTGGAGGTCAAAGTCGTCATCAAGTCCAACTTCAAGTCGTCGCTGCTGGCTCAGAAGATCGAGGTATGATGTCCAGGTTCAACTTTCACAACCTTTATTTAAATCAGAGCAGGAAGTAAATCTGACCCATAAAACCAGAGGAGAGCTGAAACTGAGGCTGCGTTCCAAACCGCCTTCTGCGCTAGTAGCACGTACTGATCTGGCCTAAATGCAGAGTGCAGTATGCAAACAAAAGCCAAATCTGCAGTGTGCCAAAAATACCCGGAAGGCGCACTGATTCGGGAAAAATCTCCAGTACGCATCGGACCAGTCTACCTCATGTTCTGTGTCCCATAATGCAAAGCGTTAGAACTGTAACAAAAACCGGTCTGTTGTGTGGAGGACAGCCACACAACTTGGTTTACAGTTTTCACACGCTGTTTGTCGCACAGAGATTTCAAATATCGTCAGTTTTAGGAAAATTGTTGGCGAATGTGCTGGAATGTTTTCAGAGTCGAGAAGCACCGCGAGCTAACGTGCCGGGCCGCCAGCTGACGCAGCTCTTCTCACCGCTGTCTTTACATTCTGAGTAATGTTGGAACGTTTAACTTAAATCAAGAGACATCTGACGGACCGGAAGTAGTTTGAAAGGAGACGGTTGCTGTTGTTGCTTTATTATTATCATAGTTGTTAGTGGAATGTTAACAGGTGTCGTTACATTACTTGCTTTTTATTTTATATAATTTTATTGATGCACCAATAAATCAAAGCAAACGTCTGCTACAGATCAGCTGCAGCTTTGTTCTCTTTACATGAGATAAAAGAAAAAGAAGTTTTAAGTGTTCGTACATAGAAATTCCTCCTTTTGTTCCAATTTTGAAAACCGGAAACTGGCTTAGCCTGGCCTGACGTACTGCAAAATAAACCAATTTAGCAGTTTCATACTGCATACTGGATGCAGTACATGCTGCAGTATACAGTACATACTGGATGCTGCAGTTGCTAGTAGTATGTAGTAGGCGGTTCTGAATACAGCCACCGACTTTAATTGATACAAATCCACTAATTTGATAAATGATTTTCTTTTACAAAAATGTTTATATGTGACTCTTCTTTGAGATCTTTTTGTTTTGGTTATTTATTTGGTATATTTATCTATTTATCATATTTTTCCTACATATTAATATAAATTATTGTGTATATATTATTCCTAATAATAAGCTCTTTCGGAAAGTGTGAAAGAGACGCTGTAGTTTGGAGAAACCCTGACGAAAACTGACCGATCTGATTGAACCCCCCCCCAAGTTCGGATCCCCACCCCCCTGAACACCAGCGGGGTTCAGCTCATCTGCATGAAGGGAAAAGCAAAGTACAAAGCGAGCGAGAACGCCATCGTCTGGAAGTAAGTGATCTCCGTCTGCTGGGTCTTTATTTAGAGTTCTCCTTCAGGACCAACACAGACCCTTATTATCCCTGATATCAGCTGATCGATCAGACAGCAGAGAGATCAGCTGGGTGCTATTTAAATCAAACTGTGATAACAGGGCAGCCGAGCCCCCGCTGAAGTTAGAAATGTGGTATCTGAGGTGGAGCTCAGTAAATAAATATGATGGCTGAGTGAAATGTTTCTGTACTCTGGTGCTAAATATGAATAGGGAGACAAAATAGTTTGTTTTTTATCGTGATATTCATCATTGAACTATACTTTCTTCTTACTTGAAGACAAATAAAACAACTCTAGGTTACGCTATCTTAGCTTAGCAGTTAATTTAAATGAATGGGTTGGAAGTGAACACTGTCTCTGTTTCATCTCTCATTGGTTAGAGACTTAGAGGTATGACGTGCTGACCTCTGCTGTAGGACACAGCTGTAGTCTGTGCTGCTGCTGATGTGTTCAGCCGGATCGATAGTTGGACCTGAGGTGAGCAGTAAAACCCGTCAGTGCTGACGAAGAGATCAGAGCAGCTCTGCACCTTCAGCGCGAACACCACCTCCGGCTGCTGCAGCCACGTCAGCACAACACCTCAGCATTACCTCATCATGCTGCTTTCTGAAAGCTGCAGCAGGCGGGAAACTCTGAGACCACAGGAGGCTCTGCGGTGTCGGGGTGTTACATTATAACGGGTCCTGACAGTTTGACTTTCAGTTCTGTTACTAATCAAACTGTTCAGTCCAACTCTGTACTTAGATAGTTTAGGAGGAACCTGCGCAGAGAGGTTCCTCTTACACTATCAAGTATTACCAAGCAGGAACCTCCGGGTCTGAAAGTGAAGCCTTAAACCTGCGTCCTCTCCTGCAGCCAGCAGGGGGCGACTCCAGCGTCTGCAGAAAGAAGTGTGATTGTATTGATGTCTGTGAGAAAATGTTTCTACTTGTCAGCTGATTTATTCCTGAGTTTTATCATCTTGATTACTCGTTGAATCGTTTGGTCTTTAAAACAGAAAGTAGTGAATAAACAGACGGTAGATAGTCTTTCGACCAGCGCTGATGTGTTGACGTGTGCTGATGTGTGTTGCAGGATAAAGCGCATGGCGGGGATGAAGGAGTCTCAGATCAGCGCAGAGATCGAGCTGCTACCGACTAACGACAAGAAGAAGTGGGCTCGACCTCCGATCTCCATGAACTTTGAGGTCAGAACAGAAACCTGTACCCTGCGATGGCAGGATATAGACCAATGTAGGCGGGATGTAGGCCGATGTAGACGGGATGGTAGATGATGTAGAGATGTAGATGGGATGTAGATGATGTAGACGGGAGGTAGATGATGTAGACGGATGTAGGCCGATGTGATGCCGTAGATGTGTCACAGCGCCTCCTGCAGCGCCAAAGAGGAGCAGCAGGTGTCTCTGAACACTGATGCTGTTCTTCTTTCAAACAGATAAACATGGTGTGCTGCTTCACTAACTCCTCCTCTCCGCCTCCTCCTCAGGTGCCATTCGCTCCGTCAGGTCTTAAGGTCCGGTACCTGAAGGTGTTCGAGCCGAAGTTGAACTACAGCGATCATGACGTCATTAAATGGGTTCGTTACATCGGACGCAGCGGCATCTACGAGACTCGCTGCTGACCCCTCCACCGCCGCTCCCGGGGCTGATGGGAAGGAATTGTTGTTGTTGTCCTCTACAGATCTGTGTGTGTTTATTCAGTACAAAGTTTAATCCCCACTTATTCCAAATGTCAGACGCTCAGCCAATCACATTCCAGAAACAGCTCAGCTGGCTCAGAGCCCAGTGTACCTGACAGAAAGGAGACCTGGACTGCGTCCGAAAAGTCAAAAAATCTTAAACCTTTCCTCGACCTCGATGGAAAACGTCACGAGGTCAAGGAAAGATGTGAAGGAGAATCCAGAAGGACTCAGAGAATCCGGCTGCTCATTTCTAGGCAACGTAAATATGTGACAGCGGATGTTACTGACGTGATGAAACTACAATGTTCTGAAGATGGACTACAGAAAGCGCATCTCTGACTCTGCGCCCCGTGTTGTTGTAATGCAGGCCGTCTAAAGGTGGACAACACGGTGGAATATCAGCTTCATAACCAAGATAGCAAAAAGGCCTGTAGGTACCAGTCACCAAATAAAGGACCGGGTCGTCAACCTCCTGTGAATCCCAGTTATTGTCTGTAAACAGTGTTTCCCACAGAATGACAGCGTAACTGGGGCGAGAGAGAGAGAGAGAGCGAGCGAGCGAGAGGAGGTGCTGAGTGAATATAAGCGCTGCCCGCAGCTCTGTGATCAGAAACGATTTTACCCATAGTCCAGTAACAAAAATCAATATGTTGGCGTTCAGCTTTGATAATGCGATCAACAATCCTTTCCTTTGGTAACGGGTGGTCCGGTGTACCCTATGCTAAAGGAGATATGAAGGAAGCATTGAGGCTCCTTTCCTCAGCTTTTAGAGAATTAAACAGCTGAATTACTTCCAGGTCACTTCACTCAGTCAGAACCTTCCTGAGCAAAAAAGACTTTTCGGACGCAGCCCTGGACTGAGATAGACCAGGTTTTAACTAATCAAGACCTTCTGGCTCGTATGACGTCAGCAGACCCACAGAGACCTCCTTGTAGAACCAGTGCTGCTGCTGTTTTTAGATTACATGTGAGCAGCAGAGGGAGGACAAACCAGGAACCTCAGCTGCACCTGAAACCCAGAAATAAGGAGCAGAGTGAAGTAGAAATAAAATGACCTGTTAGAAGAAGGGTAATGTAGTAATACCCCCCCCCCCCCCCCCCCCCCCCCCGACGCTCAGAGTGAGTCCTCCTGTCTTGTAGTAAGTCTGTGTGGTTACCCAGCATGCCTCAGTCTCACTCTGTTTAAACACATTTGCCTCAGTGTTTTTTTTATTTTACTAAAATTCTGAATTCGTCTCTAGTAAAAAGTTGTTTTATTTTAATTTTTTACAGTTTTTGTACCCAGATGCTGTGCGTACCTGTGAATCTGAACCCTGTGTGTGAGCAGCTCAGTACTTCCTGTCAGACAGCGGTGTCTCTGTGCTGCCTGTCTCAAGTTATTTTGCCAAAATCTTTTGTTTTCTGAATAAAATCAATGCGACTGAAGTTTCTGTGTAATAAGAACATCCTGGTGACTTCATGGGGAATCCAGTTAATATTCTCCAGCCTGCCAACCACTCCGTGTTTTAGCCAAAGTCAAAATCAACTCTGGATGAAGGATTCAGATCTGTACCTAGAGGTTAAACTACTAATACCTCACTGTGTAAATACTCTGTTACTAGTAAAAGTACTGCAATGAAAATGTTACTTCAGTAAAAGCATGTAAGTATAATCAGGAAAAGGTACTTCAAGCATTAAAAGTACTTCATGTCGTACGGTTCCACATCAGGTTCTTCCTCCTCCTCATTACCATAAAGCAGGATGTTAAGTGCCGTCACAGTTACCCAGATCCCAAAGAGACGCCTTTAAAACCAGCAGTCCAAAGATCCGGGTTCTCATAAATAAATAAATTAAAATAGAGAAAAGCAGCAAATGTTTTTACATGAAAACTGTCTCATCTCCCTGTCAGTCTGATACTATAGCTGGACTATAAACTGTTAAACATCAGATTTTATAAACTCTTCATGTGTAAAAATCTGACTTTGTAAAGTAATTGAAGTTGTCTGATAAATGTAGTGAAGGAAAACTTACAAGATCTCCCTCTGAGATGGAGAAGAAGGAGAAAGTGGCCTCTAATTTGTGCTTGAGTAAATTTACCTAGTTACTGGCCACTTTTCATAACCCTCCGAATACAAAACAAACATTTAAAATACTAAAACCCACTGAGCAGGTTGCTCAGCTACTCAGCCTCTGGCTCAAGCACACTTCAGGGTCCAAAACAAGCCACTCACCAAATGTGAGTAAAAAGTACTTTGGTGAATAAAATAAATGGCTGAAATCGGAATCAGCTTTACTGCCAGGTAGGTTTACACCTTTATATACAGTCTATGGTTCATGCATACAGAGATCTGCTGTGGTGTTTTGGTGCAGAACAAACAGTCAGTAGAAAATCCACTGCTCAGAAACATTGAGGGAACTTTTAATCATCAGAGTACAACATCATGTCAGGTAAACTCAATCTGTCCAATCAGGAAGCAGAAGCTATTGTGAATCAAATTTGGTGAAGTCAAAATGACGTCCATGTGTCCGAGGTCCTCTAGGGGGATCTGTGGTCGACGTGGTGAACCTTAAGCTGCCTGCCGCATCATCAGCATTTCTTTATTTGTTTAAAAGGGACGGGATACAGTAAAAGATGTACAACAAAAAACGTTTCCATTTGATGCACCGTACCAAATTATAGCTTCAAGCTAATTCACATCGGCAGTCCCCTGGCAGGTTGTAGTTAACAACAACACAGTGTGCTAAGGCTGACCAGTTCATTAGCACGCCACCAAGGTCATCGTCAAGTAGCATCCTAGTCATATGGTGATGTCCACCAAAACAATCCCAACTTTGACTCTGATCCAGCATAAATGGTTTGGCGGTGGGTCCGTGATGGTCTGGGAAGGCATATCCTTGGAGCCTGGGTTCCTCCTGGTGCAGTGAGTCCTGGGTTGGGTCCTGGGTTCCTCCTGGTGCAGTGAGTCCTGGGTTGGGCCCTTGGTTCCTCCTGGTGCAGTGAGTCCTGGGTTGGGCCCTTGGTTCCTCCTGGTGCAGTGAGTCCTGGGTTGGGCCCTTGGTTCCTCCTGGTGCAGTGAGTCCTGGGTTGGGCCCTTGGTTCCTCCTGGTGCAGTGAGTCCTGGGTTGGGCCCTGGGTTCCTCCTGGTGCAGTGAGTCCTGGGTTGGGTCCTGGGTTCCTCCTGGTCCAGTTGGTGAGTTTGGTTTCATTGACTCAACGAATTCTACAAAGTACAGTAAAGTTTTTGAACTTCCAACTATTTTGTTCATCGAGATCTGATGTGTAATTTAGGTTTTCCCTTAATATATTTGAGCAGTGTATAAGATAAGATAAAGCAGGTCCAGGACCAGAAATATAACATTGACAATAAAATATAAATCATGTTAAAGAAGAATAGAGAACATGTGAAATATGTTTGTTGTTTAAAAGGAGGTCTGTCACCACCAATAATCCTCAACGTCACTAACGAACATCACAGTTATACAATCATTCAGAGGAAAAGCAACAACACCCGGTGAACCAGCAGCTGCTTTCAGACCTACGACCCAACATACCAGGAACCAGCAAGTGAACCAGCCGCTGCCTTCAGTCCTATGACCCAACATACCAGAAACCAGCCGGTGAACCAGCCGGTGAACCAGCCGCTGCCTTCAGTCCTATGACCCAACATACCAGAAACCAGCCGGTGAACCAGCCGGTGAACCAGCCGCTGCCTTCAGTCCTATGACCCAACATACCAGAAACCAGCCGGTGAACCAGCAGGTGAACTAGCAGGTGAACCAGCAGCTGCCTTCAGTCTATGATCCAACATGCCAGTGAACCAGCCGGTGAACCAGCAGCTGCTTTCAGACCCACGACCCAACATACCAGGAACCAGCAAGTGAACCAGCCGGTGAACCAGCCGCTGCCTTCAGTCCTATGACCCAACATACCAGTGAACCAGCAGGTGAACCAGCAGCTGCTTTCAGACCTACGACCCAACATACCAGGAACCAGCCAGTGAACCAGCAGATGAACTAGCAGGTGAACCAGCAGCTGCCTTCAGTCTACGACCCAACATACCAGAAACCAGCTGGTGAACCAGCAGCTGACTTCAGTCCTACGATCCAACATACCAGGAACCAGCAGGTGAACCAGCAGCTGCCTTCAGTCTATGATCCAACACCAGGAACCAGCCGGTGAACCAGCAGATGAACTAGCAGGTGAACCAGCAGCTGCCTTCAGTCTACAACCCAACATACCAGGAACCAGCAGGTGAACCAGCAGCTGCCTTCAGTCTACGATCCAACATACCAGGAACCAGCCGGTGAACCAGCAGATGAACTAGCAGGTGAACCAGCAGCTGCCTTCAGTCTACAACCCAACATACCAGAAACCAGCCGGTGAACCAGCAGCTGCCTTCAGTCTACAACCCAACATACCAGGAACCAGCCGGTGAACCAGCAGCTGCCTTCAGTCCTACGATCCAACATACCAGAAACCAGCCGGCGAACCAGCAGCTGACTTCAGTCCTACGATCCAACATACCAAAAACCAGCAGGTGAACTAGCAGCTGACTTCAGTCCTACGATCCAACATACCAAAAACCAGCAGGTGAACTAGCAGCTGACTTCAGTCTACAACCCAACATACCAGGAACCAGCAGGTGAACCAGCCAGTGAACCAGCAGCTGCCTTCAGTCTATGATCCAACATACCAGTGAACCAGCCGGTGAACCAGCAGCTGACTTCAGTCCTACGATCCAACATACCAGGAACCAGCAGGTGAACTAGCAGCTGACTTCAGTCTACAACCCAACATACCAGGAACCAGCAGGTGAACCAGCCAGTGAACCAGCAGCTGCCTTCAGTCTATGATCCAACATACCAGTGAACCAGCCGGTGAACCAGCAGCTGACTTCAGTCCTACGATCCAACATACCAAAAACCAGCAGGTGAACTAGCAGCTGACTTCAGTCTACAACCCAACATACCAGGAACCAGCAGGTGAACCAGCCAGTGAACCAGCAGCTGCCTTCAGTCTATGATCCAACATACCAGTGAACCAGCCGGTGAACCAGCAGCCGCTTTCAGACCTACGACCCAACATACCAGGAACCAGCCGGCGAACCAGCAGGTGAACCAGCAGCTGCCTTCAGTCTATGATCCAACATACCAGTGAACCAGCCGGTGAACCAGCAGCCGCTTTCAGACCTACGACCCAACATACCAGGAACCAGCAAGTGAACCAGCCGGTGAACCAGCCGCTGCCTTCAGTCCTATGACCCAACATACCAGAAACCAGCCGGTGAACCAGCAGGTGAACTAGCAGGTGAACCAGTAGCTGCCTTCAGTCTATGATCCAACATACCAGTGAACCAGCCGGTGAACCAGCAGCTGCTTTCAGACCTACGACCCAACATACCAGGAACCAGCCAGTGAACCAGCAGATGAACTAGCAGGTGAACCAGCAGCTGCCTTCAGTCTACGACCCAACATACCAGAAACCAGCTGGTGAACCAGCAGCTGACATCAGTCCTACGATCCAACATACCAGGAACCAGCAGGTGAACCAGCAGCTGCCTTCAGTCTACGATCCAACATACCAGGAACCAGCAGGTGAACCAGCAGCTGCCTTCAGTCTACGACCCAACATACCAGGAACCAGCATGTGAACCAGCAGCTGCCTTCAGTCCTACGATCCAACATACCAGGAACCAGCAGGTGAACCAGCAGCTGCCTTCAGTCTACGATCCAACATACCAGGAACCAGCAGGTGAACCAGCCAGTGAATCAGCAGGTGAACCAGCAGCTGACTTCAGTCTACAACCCAACATACCAGGAACCAGCAGGTGAACCAGCCAGTGAATCAGCAGGTGAACCAGCAGCTGACTTCAGTCCAACGATCCAACATACCAGAAACCAGCAGGTGAACCAGCCGGTGAACCAGCAGGTGAACCAGCTGCTGCCTTCAGTCTACGACCCAACCTACCAGGAACCAGCAGGTGAACCAGCAGGTGAACCAGCAGCTGCCTTCAGTCTACGACCCAACCTACCAGGAACCAGCAGGTGAACAAGCAGGTGAACCAGCAGCTGCCTTCAGTCCTACGATCCAACATACCAGGAACCAGCCGGTGAACCAGCAGGTGAACCAGCAGGTGAACCAGTTGCTGCCTTCAGTCTATGATCCAACATACCAGTGAACCAGCCGGTGAACCAGCAGATGAACTAGCAGGTGAACCAGCAGCTGCTTTCAGACCTACGACCCAACATACCAGGAACCAGCCAGTGAACCAGCAGATGAACTAGCAGGTGAACCAGCAGCTGCCTTCAGTCTACGACCCAACATACCAGAAACCAGCTGGTGAACCAGCAGCTGACTTCAGTCCTACGATCCAACATACCAGGAACCAGCAGGTGAACCAGCAGCTGCCTTCAGTCTACGATCCAACATACCAGGAACCAGCAGG